ATGTGAGTGGTCGGTCAACCCCTATTTCAAACATTATGTTCATTTAGCTTAATTCTCTTACAATAGCATCAAGAGTGGTTAAAATCTTTATAAGATTTAAGGATAAATCTATTTGTACATAATACTCCTTACCGAATTGTTTACCTCCTCTCACATACACACGGGTCCCGCGTAAATAAAAAAATCCCAAAATGTGGTCATCACCCCCTTATTGTGAATAGTCGGTAAGAGATTATGTAAAAAATTTGATACATGTAACATGACCCAAGAATTAATTCTTTAATGGGTGCTAACTAGGGATGCGCAAAACCCGACCGAACCCTCCAAAATCGTCCAAATCGAACCAACCCTACCAGTTTGGGTTGGTTTTTTTTTGTTATTTTGACAGGGAAAAGTTCATGGATCAAGTATTTACTTTGACATTTGAAAAAATCAGGTGCTAAAATTTTAAAATTGTAAAAATCAATTTTCTACTTTTTATTAATTAATTAAATATTTAATTGTGTAACTTGATAGCGTATATCTTATTAATTAGTTAAAAATTAATTTCAGGTCACAGCTTATTAAATTAATTGGTCTCGGATTATTTCGAGGTCATAGATGAAAAAATTTATAGATCACAGTTAACTTCGTTAGTCACAAATCAAAAATTTTAAGGTCACAGGTAATTTTTTATAGGTCACAGATTAAAAAAATTCAAAACTTTTACGGGTCACAACTTCATTTCAGCGAGTCACAGTCCCAATTTCTAGGTCACGGACTCCCACCTAGGTCACAGATTGAAAAAAATCAAAACTTTTACGGGTCATAGTCACAATTTATAGGTCACAGACACCCACCTCCAACTCATCTCATCCCACACACGACCACCGCCACGACACCACACACAGCACCAGCACACCACCGTCGCTAGAACCATCAACGCCATCAACGGAAAGCACTGCAGCACTACCCAAGACCAACCACAACCTCACCAGATCCAATCACAACCACACATCACCACCACCTCAACAAATCCAAGAGCATTGTTGCACTACCCAAAATTGGACCCGTTTGACTGTAGCCACTAACATTTCTCCAACCTCGTCCCCTAACATTCCATCTCCTTCCATCAAATCCATCATCTCTCCTCCATCTTTTATAAGGTGGAAATGGAGGCGATCGTCTAGAATGAGGGAGGCGAGTGCACTCCACTGCCTCCACCTCCTCGTCTGTCTCGATAAGGTCATCCTTCACTGCTTATGATAATCCCTCGTACGCGGGGATGGGGATCGATTGCTGTCATAGTAGTCACGGTGAGGCGGCAGATCAATGTCCCTGACTTCCTGTCGTCTCTCGCGAGACGAAGGGCAGCGGCGGCGAGGTGCATTTTGTTCGGCATCAGTGGCAGCTGCCGAGGCGAGAGATATAGAGAGAGAGTTTTCAGGAAATTGATTAGGTTAAGAATTAGGGTTTTAATATACTATCTGATTTATGTAAAAATATATCGATTGCTGTCATAGTAGTCACGACGAGGCGGCAGATCAATGTCCCTGACTTCCTGTCGTCTCTCGCGAGACGAAGGGCACCGGCAGCGAGGTGCATCTTGTTCGGCATTAGTGGCTGCTGCCGAGGCGAGAGATTTAGAGAGAGAGTTTTCAGGAAATTGATTAGGTTAAGAATTAGGGTTTTAATATACTATCTGATTTTTGTAAAAATAAATTAAAAACCTGATTTTTAAAACAGTAAACCTCATTATTAAAAATGTAAACCTGATTTTTTAAAACGTTAAATTAAATCCCTGATTTTTTGTAATATTCCCATTTTGACATGGATTAGGTGGGTTTGTTGTGTAGGCTTGAGTTGGGCTGGGCTAAGTTATGAGTTAACTCATAAAAATCGAATAAACCCGTCCAACTCAACCCGGCTATATTTATGAAATTTACAAGTGTTATAATGTTACTTGAAAACTCTTAGCATAATATTATGAGACTTGGATAGAATGGATTTTACGAAAAATGGTATAAGCAAATATACATTCAACACAAAAGGAATTCTTGACTTCATATAATTTAATATCAATTTGTTCATATAACATTACCGAGCATGAAGTGCCAAAATAATTCAGATTTTTTTGATCATTGCAATTATGGAGACCAAATATTATAAAGTCATAAGTCAATTATAAATCTGTCCAATTCCGACCTGTCTAATTTAATTTTTGTTGACAAGTTGTCCCAACCCGACCGATACTTGATTGGGTTGAGTTGAGTTGAATTGTGTTTCGACATTTACACGAATTCGATTGAGTAAAATTATGATCAAACCGATCATGGTGGGTTGAATTTTGATTGAGGTAAAAACCGACCCAACTCATGCCCACCCCTAATCCTAACATGTCAAGCTTATCAACTCCATATTTGCCTCAATATTTTGTGAATGTTTGATAGGAATTAAAATTAGATTTTTAGTAAATTGTGATAGAAGTTTTTGAAATGTGCTGTTCAAAAGCTGTGGAACCCATGAAGGATAAGGTTAATATTAATTGTTTGACTTTGACTTAAATTAAAATCTGATTTTAATCCGAAACAAACGAGGATTTCACAAAGACAAACGATTTGAATCTTCCCCTTAGAAAAGTACACCGTTGTTCATAGAAGATGACAGAACCATTGCCACGAGGGTTAAAATAGCTAGTCACAACCCAAAATACATCTTAGAAACTGCTCCGAGAGGCGGAATATTTGCACTCTTCAGATTCAGGTGAAAATTTGTAAGCCAAAACAGAAAGTACATTGCTGAAACACAAAACCTTATTCCCAAAGAAGATCGAATGAAAATAAAATAATGTTATGTCCATGCAGGGGCAGCAAAATTTGCTTCCTCGTCTCTGGAAGCCAGAATTAGCACGTTTTTTGCATTTCGTCTCTATATCCATAAATGTTCTCTCTGGTATTCTCGAACAATAACGGGAATACTTGTTGGTGGGATCTTGACACATCACAGAAAACGTAGTGAATGAACAATCAAATGGAAATAGTAATGATGAGCTACTACCAAATTCAGAAAAGAAAGATATACACACGCATCCAAAAATGAAAGAGAGAGAGGCATTTGAGAGTCTGGGCGGCAACAAAATCCAGCCATTCCAACAGACACTGCCACTCATTATTTATCCAACAATCGTTATGCCCAAATGACACCAATACGACAAGGAGCAGCGGTGACTTTTGGAAATTTGATTTCTCGAAAAGTACTTCGAACTAAAAATCCCAAACACAGAAACTTCTTAAAAAGCTCAAACATGTTTTGCGAAAAAGTCGCAAAAAACTAACTTTCAAGCTTATTAGCCAAAAATGCAAAAAATCATGAAATTGTCATGATTACTCACCATCATTATTTACTTAACAACCTGAATGTGCACACAACATTAACTCCAAGGTAAACTTATCAGTGAATAAACTACAATCCAACTTACCATGCCATAGTCAGTGATGATCATGGAAACATAATCTGAAGGAGTTGCATCATAACTGGCACCATGAAATTTCAAGAAAGTGAGCAGGAGTAAGACAGAATCAGTGGCATAATCTAAATATCACGTGTCAATCACAGAATCACACTTACATCAAGTTCAAGAGTTGGAGATTATCACTATTGGTCCAACCGTCCAAATAATTGATCTCAGTTCTCCCAGAAACCCTTGCAATAGCGTCAGGGTCACCTGCACATTGCAACCTTCATAAACTACTATGTCACAATTGTTTATGCGGACAATTGAAGAATCTAACTAGAAATTCATACCAAGTTCATTAGAGCAGATTGAATCGAGTTGAACCCTCTCGTGAAACTTGTATGCTTCACAACAAATCAAGACAGGAATACGAAACTGATGGGCAACCATAGCAACGCTTGCAGTTCCAACTCTTGAATAAACGGTTCCATTCGACAGCACCGATGAAGCAGCCAGCAATACTCTAGTCACTTCATGCATGACATAAGAAACAGCATTTATATGAGTGTATGTACAACTTATACCCTGCCCCACCAGCCTACGAAGCAACGCCTGTCCTTCAAGCTTTGGGCGTGAATCCACTATCACAACTCGAAATTGTTTGCCAAGCTCGTGGGCATGCAATAATATCATTTCCACAGCAGATGATGATCCATAAGTTAGAAGAACATCACCATCCCTAATTTTTGTGACAGCGTGCTTCACTATTACCTTATCTGCTAGAATTATCTTCTCATTTATAAAATGATCAATATCTGAGAGAATACTGGCTTTTGCCTCTGATTCAGATAGATTTAAAGCTAACTTGTTAATCCGAGTTTTAAGAAACCTAATTGCATTCCCCATGCTGATCGAAAGGGGTCTGCATTCAATCAGAAATGAGACATAACCATTTATTTTTGTGGTCAAGTCCCTGACAAGGGACTTCTCTGGTGGTGTTGAGTAGTCTCTAATTGACTCTTGGAATGCTTGAAGCATAGCAATACAGCGGGCATTGCCACCAGAGATATCCCCAGCTAGATATCTTACCCCAACCTGACAACAGATATGTATCCACAATAAGGATAAATCACATACAAGGTATACTAATTTTGTTTAATTTTTAAAATTTTTTTGTCAGAGAAGCCTACAACCCCATGAACAGCATGAGTACGATAAAATTTGTCACAAGAAAAGGTCTAATATTGATGATTCTTACTACTTTACGTTACGGATCCAACATTAAGATATGATAATATGATCTCAAAAGAGTAGAAAAATAGTCTCTCAAGAGCTACCTTGTAAACAGCAGGATGAATAGGATCAAGTTGGAAGAACCTTGATTCAAGGTCAGGAAGCCTTGTTCCATGTTCATACTGAGGAAGATGCCTAAATAGTTCAACTCTGCTCCTGGCTTCAGTTTGTTTCATGACAGATCGCTTTTTTGCCTTCTCGACTCGGTTCTCATCGTCAAACTGCATCCGCGGATGAGGGACATCTTTCTTCCTATCTTTATCTGGTTGACGATCGCCATCTCTTTTCTCAGAAGCTGCAACAGAAGAGCTGTCTTTCTTTGACGGAGTCACCTTTGGAGCCTTTACTGGGTTGGCATTTACTGCATTGGCCCCAGAAGCAGCAGCCTGTGTCTTACTTCCTTCAGCTGGATAAATGCAACTTTCAGGAGAGAAACGAACTATAAAGTACATTTTACAAATGTGGAACAAATAAGCAATTCTAAGAAAATGAAAACTCAACTATACATTGCAATAGATGCCTTGACATAACATATTAAAATTAGTTATGAAAAATAAAACAAGAGAAAGAAGATTGACAAATAAAGATTTTTGCACCTAAGGTGCTTGAGGTTGAGAACAAAGTAGCAATAGAGGCCTTGAGCTAACATTTTGCAATTATGTATCACATAACAAGAAGAAAGAAACAAAAACAACAGGGAGATGACTTTGCTTCTAAAATCCCTGAATTGCATAGCAAATCACAAATTTAATAAATTTATGTAAGCATAAAGTGACCTGCAGTTTTCCTTCAAATCATTGTTTGAAGAACATAAAATACTTACAGGGTTAGAGAATACAGATATGGCAGAAGAGAAGCAGAACAATGTTTTCAAATGTATGAACAGACAAAAAAATTTTAAACCCATAAATGAGGTCAAAATTGGTCTATATAATTGCTACCAAAAAAAGAAAGAAATTTTCCAGCAACAACAAACATCCCAAAAACTATGAAGCAATCTGCTATATAAAGAGCTAGTATTACCCTATCACTTGATCCTCGGAAAAGAAATGACTCCTAGTCCTGATAGATGAACAATATTAAACCCCATCATTAGCTTCTCGGTTATCAGAAAGATTCACGAACAGAAACCTTTCAGAACTATGATAGATTTTTAATATTATTCAGATTTTTAATCAGCATTACTTTATATAACTTAGATCCTTGCAAAACTATGATTTTAAAACAAAGATTCCAAGAATGACAAGCTCTTCACTAGAAATTAGCAAATAGAATACCCTTGAGTGGCGACGAATTATATCTAAAAATAATAATCTCCTATAGTAATATAAATCACTCTTTTTCCCCATCACATTGACAAAAAACTAGACTTTTTTTACAGTCAACCATTTGTAGTATCCGTCATGACTATTAATTGTGCATGCCATTTAGACATTATGGCCTTCAAATTGTAAACTAGCACACTAACAACAAAAAACCAACATGGACAGAATTAAGGCTGGTGACTCTGGACAACTAACTATAAGCTAGAATCCATCTCAAATCAAGTCCCAAAATAAACACAAATTAACACTTGTATAAATTCCAAAAATGGAAAAGCAAGTAAAAGGTATTCACATTTAGCAGCAGCTTTTGCAGCTCGTTGAGCCTCTTGAAGAGCCCGCCTCTCAGCTTTTGTCATCTTCTCCTTCAATGGCTTTAAATCCCCTGCCTGTTGATCCCTCTGCACTTCCCCCATGGCCAATCTTTCTTTTTCTGAAGTTAAGCATTTACATGAACAAACCCCCAAAATAAAATCAAATCAAAAGGGAAGAAAAGAAAACTAACCTGTAACAGCTTTAGGCATTCTTACAGTCGAAACCGTAGTCAAACCACTAGCCGGAACATTGTTCTGCGTCACCATACCAATTCCCCCTGTAGGTAGAGAACTGGCAAACTCAGCCGAATTCCCCTTTCGGCTCCGCCCAGGCGAGAAGTCAGCCGTCGCAGTAGGCGAAATGAACTCTGACGGATTGTAACTCCCAACAGGAACAGACGAGTCTGATGCTCCGCGGGCGCCGCGGATAGGGGAAATAGGTGCCGGCGGAAAGTGGCGTGACATATCCGACGAAAGGTTACGCGGTGGTGGGATCATGACAGGGGACAAGGAATTCCCAGAGGGGGAAATTTGGGAGACCGGTGGGGAGGATGAGGTGGGATCTGGTGGACCCGACTGGGAGCGGTCGGGTGGGGCAAAGAATCCGACTCGCCGGACCTTGGGGTCACTAACGGTGCGAGGCACACGGCGAGGTTCCATTTTGTAATCTAGGTTTTGGAGCGTAACGAGAATGGATTTTGTGCTTTAATGGAATCTCTATCTAGCTAGGATTTGGAATTTGAAGATAGGAAAGAATCAGGGATAAAGTGGTGTTACAGTACGAAGCGTTTCAGGGCAAGGAAACAGGCCGCCGCGTCGCTAAAGCGGTGGCGAGTTGCATTTGCATATCACATGGGCATTTGCATATCGCATGGGTAAGCAAAAATGGTCAAATCAAATCGAAATCGCATTTTAAAAATCGTCCGTTTGATGCCACGTGGATTCGTCAACGAATTGATTTGAACCAAACCAAACCAGTAAAAAACAGTTTGATTTATATGTTTGAGAATTTTAATTGTAATTTAAAATCAAATCGGACCGACGAAAAAATATATAAAAATAAAAAAAATGAAAATTTTTGAAAAATCCAAATATATAAAATTCAATAGTTTTGTTATGTGTGGGTATTTTTGTCAATTTCTAATTTTCTATTACATATATATTATTATTATCCAATAATCCTAATTTATATTTAATAATATCATGACTAACCTAATATATCAAAAGCTCTTTTCATCTTTAGAATTTAGATGAACTTCACTCGACACCCGACACACCCTTGAGCCACCAGCACCACACCAAATCGGAGACAAAGAGATTTTGGGTCTTCGGTGATAATATTTGCTACGAATAACGTTTCAGATGAATAATTTTTTTGAACAAATTGAGATAAGAAATCTAAAATTGTATGGGTTTCACATTTCTCTCAACTATTGGATGATTGTAAAATAAATTTATTCACTTTGATGGAAATGATTTATCTACTATGTACATGATTCTATTATATTTGTGTGAACATACTATTGTTTTGTGACTGAATTAGGCATGATAAAATATGTCAATAGAAGCTAAAAAGTGTTTATGTGCAATTTGATATGTGGATGAACTTTTTAATAAGCTAGAAGAAACCAACAATGATTCCGATGGCAACTATACTTGCATCAATTTAATTGTTGTGTTTTATTGTATGCTTAGATATTTTGTTAAACTGTTTCTTTAAGCGTTTTAAATTAATAAAGATGATATCTATTCAGTTATCATATTAAAGTCTTGGATTTTGATCCAGTAGGCGTAAAGTTTATCATTTAAGATGTTGCCTTATTGATGCATCAATAACTGTACTATGGAACTATATGCTTTCAAATAAACATTTAGTTTATATGTGTTTTGAGCCTTATATTTAATTTATTAGACTTGTATTGTAACGTTATCGTAACGTCTTAACCTAAAAATGGTGAACAAAAAACTATTATTATGATTTCACTTGGATTTAGTTGGTATTTAAATTTATAGTAGATATATTTAGTTGTTTTAGATTTATTGCTAGTAAAATATAAATATATATTGAATTCACTGAATTAATGACATAAAAGTAGACATGCAAAAAAATATACGACGAAATCGACGATTTAAAACCAGACCAAACCATTAAGTTTAGGTTTGAGTTTTTTTCAAACTGTTCAAAATGGTTTGGTTTAGGTTTGAGTTTTCCTCAAACTGATTTAAACAGTTTGGTTTGAAAATCTATCAAAATCTGTAAAATCGGACCGTTTACACCCCTATTCACATGGGTAAAAATTGAGTTAAATGTTTCATCACTTGCTAAACTTTGACATACGTGAAGACTTACTCATCAAACTTTATAACGCCTTTCACTGACCACTCAACTTTATACTTTTGCACTCCATTGCTCGCTCGATTTTTTTGTTTGAATTTTTGCCTACGTGTATGACGGAAATCATACATGGCAATTAACTCCTTTCAAAATTTAAATGAGATGCCAACATGGACAACCTCATCAAAATCGTGGACTCCAAAGCACGCATCTGTTGACCTATGGTTGACATCTCGTTTTGATTATCACAAACAAATTATTTTTATCTCTAACAAATTGATTTCAAATATTTATACTGATTATTGCATAGAGTCAATAAGATGAAGTTCAAGGTCAAGTAAATTTGTGCACGAAAATCGATACGGGAACAAATTCGCAAATCGAAGGTACGAAGAACAATATTGAAACCTACAAAAAGTAGCTTAAAAAGAATCGAGACAAAAGTCGATGAACGATCAAGCAATACACGTCAAGATGTTCAAAACATAGTACTTAAATATTTTACACTCATGTAAAGGTAAAATGTTCCAACAGTTGGCAAATAATCACTAAGAACTCAAAGTGAATTTTTATGCATAAGAAAAATTATTTTTAAAATCAAATGATTGCATAAAGTCTTTATCGAATCACTTACCTTAAAAATAATACGTGAGAAAGTATTTCAAGAAATAGCATCAAACGAATAATCAAGTAAGTAATGTCCGTGGGCAAAATGCCCTTCCAAACATCCGGACGACCCCCAACGTTCACTTTTTTTACCGTTTTGACATCTTCAAGCGGCTAGTGTTTTAGATCATCCGGACGTCCGGATGGACAGGGTTTTGGTCGATTTGAGTGCTATAAATATCTCACTCACTTTTCATTTGCACCAACCTTTCTTTGAGCATTAAACTAAAACTTCTATTAATCCCAACAACCTTACTCTCTATACTTAAGAAGATCAAAAAACATCAAACTCTTGAAAAATTTTGGAGCGATTAAACTTTGTGCAAATCCTTATTAAAAGTTTTTCTTTTAACCTAAACACTTTGACCTATACTATTTGTCATCTATTGAAGTGTTTGCTTTCTTCTCTTCTTATACTCTTCCTTTAAATCTATCATTAGATAAGAAGAGAAGATTTTCACTTGTAAAACTCCTTTGAATCGAGGTCATATTGAGGTCCCGTAAAACTCAATAGTTTAGGTCGTCGTGTAGAGGTCCTGTAAAGCTTAACATTGTAAAAGGATCGATGCTCCTTGTTTGTAAGCCACCGGAAGCGTTGTAAAGGGTTGGATTGCTCCATAAGTCAATCACATAGTGAAAAGGTCTTGCTCGTACCGGAGAGCTTGGTAACGGGGGACGTAGATCATTGCATTGGATCGAATCTCCATAACATATCGTTTGTTCTCTCTATTCCTTTTACTTAACGCTTCTACCTTGTGCAAATTTACATTACTTCATTTACGTGCTTATTTGTGTTTAGATTATTCATTATCATTTGTGTGTTCATTATCATTAAAATTTTGAGTAGTTAACGAAAAAGTTTTAAAAAACCAATTCACCCTCCTCTTGGTTAGCCAATCTTGGGCTTTTAGCGTCTCTCTTCCTTACCAAAACGTAATCCATGTTCTTTCTAAATCCACACATAATCACCCAACCAAAAGAAATATTCCCAAATTTTCCAAACCATAAGCCCCAAATCGAAGTAGCAGCGATCAATTGAGGATCACAAAATATTTGATTATTGAAGTCATGCACATGAAGGGACAAGGTAATTCCCAAACCATTTCTTTTTTCCACGGGAAGAATTCATAGGATAAAATGACTTTTTGATACTATTTTAATTTTTAACATATTTCGAACTTCCTAGCGTGATCTTTTCTTTCATTTTCCATTTTTTCGGGAGATTTCTTGATTTGTTTACAGTGATGAAAGATGGGTTTTCGTTTGAATTGGTTTGGTATACAGTTAAATGTGATATTTCTTTTTCATATGAAACTTGTGTTTCATTTATAAATGAACGATTTGATGATATTTGGATTGACGAATTTATGAAATTGGTTGCTTGGATTTCTATTCTACCGATGTTTTGCTTGAATTTATGAAATTGGTTGAGGACTCCCAATTTTTTCATTTTTTTATTAACAATAATCATCTTTGATCCCTGACCATGTAACATAATCTTTTTGTTGAGTGTGTTCCCCAAACTTATGCTGTATTTCCCTAATGTTGTGATTTTAATTTGTTACATAGTCGATAAGGGAACCTATAAAGTAAGGGGCAGGAAGGAATTGTGTGGGTTTTCTATTTTGTACTTTTCATTCGAATATTCATATTTGTTTACTATAAATTAAGTGCTCTTTAACATCCACACTTTTCATAGCACTAATTTTATTGCTACTGCATATTGATGTGAGTATAACATTGCTATTTCATGTGCCACTTCCTAACAATATATATTCGGAGTATGGTTCCTTTTTAATACAAGATTTGTTGGGTTTTGTGGAGCACAGTTTTGTTTGATCCGGTGGACGATCCGACCCGAATAATGTTATGTGGTTTTTTTAATGGCGGATTTTCTGAGGCTTAGTCCATGAGAGCTCATGTAAATTGCACGCCCTAAATTCACCAATAGTGTAATGGTCAATGGGACAGAGGAACACATTTATATCACAATGCAAGCACCTCAAGCCTAGTAAATCATAGACCACTCTCATATGTACCTCATCATCCTTAAGAATACCCATTTAAGATCTTTTTTCCTTGCATATTTGAGCTCATCCCTGAATAAAAATTATATTTCAACTCAGACAATAACAATATTATTCAATGCAAATCCCAGACAATAACAAATTAAAATGTATGATTTGAACATTCGCCTACTTCTTAAAATTCCAAGAACACCAAAAATGTAAATGCATAACAATCACTAACAGTTTTCCTGTTTGTACATTAACGATCAGATAATAAGATGCGGTAATTGATGCAGTCCAAAGACATAATTCATCGGACTTCGGACTTTGCTGTTGTCTTCGGAATTCGTCTGTGGACCTCGTGGACTTTGCTCTTGTCTTCGGACTTCGTCTTGTTTGTACCCTTCGCGTTATGAAGTTTGAAAAAGTTGCCTCGTCTATGTCTACTAATTCAGTCTCCGTTTCAGTGATGTTGAGTTCGTCGGTTGGTCATACATTCGATCCCATCGGTCATTCAAGGTGTTTCCTTCAAATGCCAAGTCGTTCTCAGAATTTATGAAGTTCAAACCGTCCTCGTAATCTGTCATAAAATGAAAGTACTACAAAGTTGAATCAGTAGTGGCACAACATATATATGTTATGAAGTGAAA